TGCCGACCGTCCGGCAACAACTCTCGAGCAATTCAACTTCAAATGACATAATCTGACATGACATGAACATAAATGCTGAAATAACTTAAAAACATGAATTTTACACGATGGACTGAATATGGCCGTGGCGTGCGCACCGTGCGCTGCCGGCGGCGTTTGGCCGTTTCTCTACCGAACTCGATTTTCTCTCGGCAAATCATACTCAACTGAACATGAAATATAATTTACTGAATAAATGGACATGAAATGTTCCAAGGACTGAACCTAACATACTCGTTACAAGTGCCCGACCCGTGGTGCGCGCTACGTGCGCGACCACGTGCCTTGGCCGAGTCACCGAACAACATGAACATTCTACTGAACACAAGACCTTAACTGAACATTAACAACATGTAGGGACTGATTATATAACAATTACTCCAGAGATTACACAACAACATGCACACGCTCGCTATAGCCACACGCACGGCCGTACAGCTTGCAGCCGTTCATGAACATAATTAAATCAATCGGAGCTAACATGACTTAACAAAGGTAAACTGATGTTACCTCCTCTAATACCCGGCTGATCGTTCTAATTGATCGGGACAACCGGAGCCTCCGTGCGAGCGCGTTGTTCTCGGTGATGGTGTGCGGTGCGGTTGCTATAAACTTCTCGCGTACGGTGTTCATGCTATTAGATTGCGGTGCGTATTATGGTAGCTACTTAAATTAGGAAAAACTCTCAATTTCCTATCTTTCCCTTATAAATAATACTCAGCACACACATATATATGCACGGCCTCAAGGGACTTGGGGTGAGGTGGTGTTGATGTGGCTCCCAACTTTACTTGACATGTGCTCCAAGATAATTGGTTTATGGTGATTAATCACCACATAAACTTCCTCATGTTGCCACGTTTAAATACTTAAGGAAGAAGGAAAAATGGTTTCCTACTTGAGAAGAAATTGTCACGGCAATTTAGAAAGAATTGAGGCAAATTGACTTTAAGGCTACCGCTATTTACAATTAATTGGGAAAAATTGCTATGTCAATTTAAATTTAAATTGAGCATTATAAAGCCTATGGCATTATTTATGATGACCATGATTAACTCTAAAATTAAGCACAATTAATGCTTAATTATTTAATTAAATATAATACTTAATTACTAAAATTATTCCGAACGTAAACGGGACAACGAAAATAATTTCGGGTAATCTCGACTTAAAATAATTAATTCTGAAAATAATAATCGACAACGTTATTATATCAGAACTAAAACATGATTAACATGACGAAATATTCCTGACTGTATAATTAATTACGGACTCATTAATTAATAAACGAATCAGAATTAAATCTGAAACTTGTTCGGTTACTGGAATAGTTAAATCGAATAATATATCGACTAATAGTCGAACTTGGAATATAACTAGCTGATTAACCTGAACTTGAACATGAACATGATTATTTATTAACAAAGGCTTGCTTAAAATTAAAAGCTAGTATTTTCCTTTATTAATAAAATACAGGGCGTTACAGTTTTTCAGGTAAAGTCATGTGTTATGTGTTGGTCTTATATACTTAAGCTTTGCTTTAGTGGATATTACACTTGTTATTCCTT